ATATATATATATATATATATATATATATATATATATATATTTATATAGGGAATAAGACCTCAGAATGTTTTAATAGGATGGTTTACTCTCAAGTCTCTTGGAATTCAAATTGTAATTCTCTTACATTTAGGAGGTAAGGCCAGATCACATGAAACAGGCATACTTTTAGTCTATCTGCTTAGTGTTTGCGAGAGACCAAAAATTCCTTGTTGTTCAAAGGAATTATTATAATCTCTTTACATGTGAATTGAGTGAGCAGAAGTGGTGAAGAATAATCATGTATAATTCTAGAATCCTCATGTTACTTTACAAAGAATTAGATTCTCCATAAGAACTATCATCCTTTGTTTAGGCAAACAAAAACTACATCATAGTTTATAATTCATTTGGAGTTAAAGTATTTTCTTCTGACCCATCAGAAGGTTTTTTAATGAACAGAATTATCCTGGCCCACAAAAGTATTTTGATGTAATTTGTTAAATCACTACACAAAGTTTGTTGTTTTAAGTTTTAAAAAATAAATGTTTTCTCATTAAGGAAACCTAAATTTTCAAAATGTGGGCTGGGTGCAGTGGCTCATGCTTGTAATCCCAGCACGTTGTGAGGCTAAGGCAGCCTGGTCAACATAGCAAGACCACCATCTCTCATCTTCACACTTGAGAAATCAGTGTGAGCCTAGCACTGTGATAAGAGTTTCTGTGAAAATATTAAGGGAAATAATAAGTTGAGGTAACGGGTTAATTAGTACAGGAAGGGTAAAAGCAACATTTTTGGGGTATGGACCCGATAGCTTATTTAGCTGACCTTACTCTAGGATGCGGTGTAATAGGTAGCACGGAGAATTTTGGATTCTCAGGTAGATTCAACTCCTATAGTTCTAGAAATAAGAAGAGTTTAACCTCTATTATTTATTAGAGTAATTCTTTTGTCAGACATATTTCCTATGTTTGGGGTGAGGTGCTGGAAATTAGAACAGGCATTGAGATATTTCATATGCAGAATGCTAGTATAAGTGGTAGGAAGTTTTTTCATAGAAGATATGTGAGTTGGTCATAGTGGAATTGAGGATATGCTGTTTGAATTCATAAAAACAGGGCTGTTAAGGCCAGGTGTGGTGGCTCACGCCTGTAATCTAGCACCTTGGGAGGCCAAGGTGGGCGGATCACATGAGGTTGGGAGTTCGAAACAAGCCTAACCAACACGGAGAAACCCCATCAATACTAAAAATACAAAAATAGCTGGGCATGGTGGTGCATGCCTGCAATCCCAGCTGCTTGGGAGGCTGAGGTGGGAGAATTGCTTGAACCCAGGAGGCAGAGGTTGTGGTGAGTTGAGATCACACCATTGCACTCCAGCCT